AGCAGATTGACATCTTTGTTGAAGCAAATAACACAACTGTGATGCAAACAGCAGGAGGAAAAACAGCTTTCTTGTTTAAACACTGGAAGACACAGCAGGGGCCAGATTCTCGAGCCTTAAGCCAAAGATCAGTTCTCAAAGCACCAAGTGCAGGATTCACGCTGACATCCACGCAAACTCACGTCCACACAAAAGGCTGGGCCCTCTGCCTCTGATCTGGCATCAATTTTGCTGGCTGTGGTGGAAGTTTTCATCGCTAACAAACCAAACACGTTATTTCTACTTTTAAAGGCCCTCTAAGGAGAGACAGCTGGAAAGCTGTGATCTCTGAAGTTCCTGAGAGAGGATTCACATGGTGGCCATTAGACTACCTTTGGACTCCTTTTTCTTATTCAAATAATTTCTTCAGGAAGGCCTTACTAAATGAAACCTGTGGCTTACTTCATCCAAATTTGGCACACACATCATCTCAGTCAGATACACGATAATTATGAGGCAACACATTTTAGCCATTTTGAAAGGGAGGAGGGTGGACACAGGCCATGGATTTGTAGTCCTCAAGATAGGAGCAGTCAAGCTTAAGTGCTTGTGAAAATAGTCAAATCTACCTCTACATGGGAATTGGCCTGGGTTCCTAATTGATCCCTCTGGCAAAGAGGCACAAGAGATACGTCTGATGTTAAAATGATGCTACTCTTAATTATATATCAGGAAATAAATGAGATCTGCTTCAAGTGTGCGCTAAAATTAGCTCAAGTTATTAGCCTCCACCAAATATATTATACCATCCACTGGCCTCAAGAAGGGAATTCCAAACTGTAGCTGAATGTCAATGTTGCCATATGTAAAAGAGTCATCTGAATTGAATCGACTGCTAAGCATACACCCAGCTCTCTATGAACACAGAAAATAGAAATAGCAGCTGGGAACTACAACTTCTTATACTATGCTTTTCCTGCATAGGCAAAGAACAGTAGAATACTGGGGTGAGAGGGGAGAAAAAGGAAGGAAAAAAAGAAACAGTATCTAAAGCTTTCAATCAAGTTTTTGTTTACCATGTAAGACATCAGTGCAATAGTCTTAAATAACAATGCTTATTTTGGCACAAACATTCCACGAGATCACCTCCACTTTTCTTCAAATTCTTCATCTCTTACACTATCATTTAAACACTAAGGATAACTAGCTTACTTTCTAAGAGCCTTATTGCTAACAAGATATAAGACTAGTCTGTTTGGCCAGTTTGGATTGCAGTATATCTTTTATTTGCTTTTTGACTGTGTCTTATCTACTTAAGTAGTGATTTCTTCAGGCGAGAGACTTGCTTCCTCTTAGTTTTTTTAAAGAAAGATTCAAACCAGTGGCACTTGGAGCAGCTAAACAGCATATTTACATATAATTTACAAGTCTTGACATATAGATGGTCATCTCTGTTTTTCTTTTGCAGCATATAGAGTAAGTTGCTGCAAAACAGAAACAGATCAAACACAGGGAACTCTTACTATATGCACTAAAGCCTCTCTTTACACCTTGAGGCTGTATTAACCAAACTGTGGGCATTTCACTTAATATTGTTGTATTTTGTTCTGTAGTAAAGTTTATAGTTACTGCTCCCTCTGTTGGATTTGTAATACAAAACTAAATGTGACAAATGTAACAGGAGAAAAATTTTCTCTCCATATGTCAGTATAATCACTAAACTATTAGAGTAATTTTAAATTATATTTACATTATTTGTCTTGTGAAACAATAATCAGTATGCAACATATGCTGACACTGCAACCAGACCTACAAAGCCCTTAGTCTTGTAAATAAGCCTGAGTAGTCTTTAAAAGGAGTAAAAAAGCAAAGTGCAAAACTTAAGTTTTTAAACTGTAATATCTCCTCCCTCAGCAAAAAAAAAAAAAAAAAAATAGAAAGCAAAACCAAAGAGAAATCACATCAGGAGATAGAGACCACACATCAGGTAGAAAAAAATGGAGATCAGGCTAGCATTTGCAACATGACTTTGAAGGCTGCAAATGATTCCCCTTGCTGATCAAAAGAATCAGTCCCATGACCCTATGCCAAGAAGACTAGTGTATCCCCCTGTATATCATGACACTAAGGAAACAATGAAAGGCAGCCATAAAGGAAAAAGTCTCTTATCTTCAGGACAGTACACATTTACTGCTTTTTAATTGCAGCAACAGTTTAAAAACAACTAATTCTTAGCTAGCATTTAACATGATGTTTTTACTTTGGAATTGTAAACACTATTTTTAGCTGATAAGTATTAACCACCTTATCTCTAGCTAAATAATACTTAGACAAGAACAACAAATATACGTGTGCTAAATAAACAATACATCTTGCAGTAAATTGATAATAACGTGTTGCTTTACAAATACACACCACATGCTCTAGACAGTGCTTGTGCTATTGGTATAGACCACACCTCTCATCATGTATTTTGCTCAGCTGTTGTAAATAAAGGAATTCAGGTTGCATAATTACAGCGGGTATTTTGTATTACTAGTCAACACAGAACAAAAAAATTATTCCACATCTGTAATTATTTTTCTCCCTCTTGAAATGATAGGAATCTGAATTTCCTATCCTCAGCATATAGTAACCCAACCATTGGTTAATTAAATATTACCTAAGTTTCTCTTTACAACTGTAAATTACACTGTAGTGAAGAAAGTGACTTGCATCTCGGATGTTACATCATGGCTAATAATGCCAATGTACTCATTGATTCTCCTTAAGCCACTGAAAAGCCATCATCGCTCAGATGACTATGTTTTTTAAGTTATCATTTCTATACTTAAGAGCTACAAAAAGGAGAAGGGAAAGAAGGGGAAGCTTCCCTAACCACAGCTTGCACTGAAGAATTATATGGTTTTAGTAGACTGCACTTAGACAGTCAGTACTGTCCTGAATATCAGCAGATATGGAGTCTTTCTTCCCACCCAAGTCAATGGAACTTATCCCTGTATTTTTGTTACACATACATAAATGAAAGGCTTTAAGATCCAGCTTTCAAAAGTGACTACCCATTCTGAGTGTTTCTTCTTTCAGAAGATATTTCAGCATTCAACTGCCTTTGACTCTTTCTCCATAAAACCGGGGGTAAGAGCAATTTATATTTGTATTCTAGCAACACTTAAGAATCTCCATCAAAAATCAGAACCACACTGTTTGAGGGGCTTTAGAAAATGCTTTGGTAAATATCCTCAGAAGAAAGTTGTTATTCCTTAACGGTATACTGCTGAAACCAGGTGTTAAGGATATGCTTCTTCAGCTAGCTTAAGGAGGCTAAATAGCATAAAAAAGCGAGGTCTGCACAGTCCTGATTGGCTTTATTTTTTTTAGCAATCTTTACCAGCTCTCCCAGACAGGCTGGGCTTCTCAGAGATTTAATTTCACACCAAGTGAGAACGAGCTCTCTGGAGTCTAGGTGCAAGGTCAGCTATGCACAGTCTGAGGTGGGACAGCGTCCCTTGAGTTTGTGACACCACCCTGCCCAACCCTTTTTGTCAGCAGGCTCATCCCTACCTGTGCTCCCAGATTCCAGCTGCAATGGCAAGGGCCCTGGTCCAAGCTGTACTGGTGGCCGAGTGCTGAGCTGCACCCCTGGGCCCTCCCTGGAGCTACCCAGAGGTTTTACTGCAGCTGTAACACAGCAAGGTTATGTGCCTGGCCTGCCCACTTCAGCCCCAAGATGAAGAGCAAAACATGCCATAAGTGGTCGGTTCTCCCTTGCTTTGCTTTGTCCTGCAGTGGTCAAGGGTAGGTAGGCCATTGCCACCGACACTGCCAAGGGGCTGCAGGGCAGTGCTGCACAGCCCACATTTGGTTCGTGGGCTGCTGGTTGAAGAATTCTGTCTGACAGCATAATATACAGGTAACTGTTAGGTGAACAAAGAAGCCTGATGACAACAATGAGGAAGTGATATTGCCCAAATTCTTACAGAATCGTAGAATCATTTAGGTTGGAAAAGATCTTTAAGATCGTTGAGTCCAACCATATCTAGCAGAAGTCTCACGACTTTCAGAAACTCCACCAATTTGAGCTCATGGAGCTCATAAATCAAAGTCATGGTGAGGGCATACTGGACTACAAGGTTAGCCCTTAAAGTACACAGCCATAGGCAAATACACAAGAAGTGCTTTGCTGACATTCAAACACCGGTTTGTTTGCTCAGCAAAGTATTATTATTACTACATCCACAGTTAACCTGGCAAAGCCACAAGCTGGAGCCATACTATGAAATAAACTTTAATTACTGAAACAAGAGGGCTATACTAATGGCTGGATAGTTTCACCTGTGTGTATGTGCTGGCAACTTGTAAAGCGCTATCAGCCAGGGACCACTTTTCCTCATGTTATTTATAAGCAGAGTTGACTCGGCTTTGCTGTTAACACAGCACAAAGCACTTCATGTGCCCCGAAGGTCTTTTCGCAAGAGTTTTAAAACAGAGTTGGAAGGTATCATAACTGGAGGACCAACTATGTTGTACCATCCTGTGTAAATGCCTTATACAGAGATAACTTTTCAGACTCTGTGATGTTAGAGAGAATTTCCTTCACCGAGTATTTTAAGAGAAATCATGGTAATGCACTCCCTCTTAGGGAAGGCCTGGAGCAGAGCAGCTGGGAGTGAACAGCTCTCAGGCTCAACAAGAATCAATAAAAATGTGCCATTGCAAAAAGGGCAGCCACAATGCCAGCATGTTTAAGTGGATGTACAGACCCAACACGTGAAGAAAATCTAACACTTAGCTAAAATACTGTGTCTAGTTTTAGGCACTGAACTTCAGAAATGACAGAAAGCATCCAGGCAGTCCAGAGGAAACTACAAAATCGATATTCTAGAAATTCTAGAAAACATGACCTATGAGAAGTAAGAATTCTGAAAAAAAAGAAAAAAAGAGGGAGGAAAGATTATTTAGTCTAACAGAAGACTGAAGGCAACACATCAGTAGTCTGTGTACAGTTGAAAAACTGATGCAGTATGGGGATTAACCTGTTCTGTGCGCTCACTCCTGGTAATACCAAAGCCATGTGTTTAACCCAAAGTACAGGGGGATATAAATTTGGACAACATTAACATTATAGACACTGGGACAGTTTGCCAAGAGAGACTCTGGAACTAACATGATCACAGAGCTTCCTAAATGAGAACAACTACTAGAGATTCCACCGGTCCTACTCCCTCCAGTACTGCTTTTCCCCTGCCCATTAAGAAAAGGAGTGCTCTACCTCCTCATAAGCTTTCAGCTAACACAACAACCCAAGAGACTATGATACTCTCCAACTGCCTAGTGCTCTCCTCATTTTAAACAGACCTGTTCACTCATTCCTGTGTGCGCCCAGCAACTCTCTGACAGCATTTGCACTGCTCAGCTTCCTCCGCTATTCCCCTGCCGCAGCCCCGTGAAGTTCTGCTTTTGCTTCAGTAAGGAAACCGGCTCTGTTTCTTCCAATGCGGCAGCTCGGCAGTTCCTCGAAACCAGAATTTCCCAGCCCGCTCACAGCCCCCCTGAAGGCTGCGGCACCCTGCAGAGCCCGGCGCCGAGGCCGCACGCCCAAGTCCCCGCTTCCCTTCGCGCCCGGGAGGCTCCCTGTGCTTTCGCGGTACTTCCCAGGCTCAAACGGCGCCCTGGCCGTTCTGCCGGCGGATTTCTCCCTCTTGCCACCCCCAAGGCCCTAAACTCACCAACTCCTCCCTCAGCGCGGGGCGCGCCCGCCGGCCCCGGCTCCCTTCCAGGATCGGGAAGGAGCCGGTGCCCTCCCGCCCAGCCCCGGCCCTTCCCCGCCGTCCCGTAGCCCCCGCGCTTTCCGCTCCGGCTGCGGCTCCGCCTTCCCTTCCCTTTCGCTTCCCCGGGCGGGCAGGCCCGGCGGCGGCGGGGCCGGAGCGGGCCGTGACCGGGCCGGAGCGGGCCGTGGCCGGGCCCGAGCGGGCCGTGACCGGGCCGGAGCGGGCCGTGGCCGGGCCCGAGCGGGCCGTGGCCTGGCCGGAGCGGGCCGTGGCCGGGCCGCCGGCGCCCCCCGTGACGCGGCAGGTCGGCAGCGAGCGGGGCGGCGGGCAGCGGCGGCAGCCGGCGGAGCTGCGGGAGGCCGCCCGCTGCCCGGTGGTGGACGCGGGCGGGAGGAGCGTCCCCTTCGCGTCCCTGTACGGGGAGCAGAAGGCGATCGTGGTGTTCGTGCGGGTGAGGAGGGGGGCGGCTGCCCGGGCGGGCGGGCTGGGGGCCGCGGCGCGGCGGGGGGCGGGAGCGGGGCGTTCGCACTCGCTGCAAAGGGAAGCCAAAATGGAAAGCGGAGCGGTTCGGCTGCCGAGAACCCCCGTTCTTCAGTAAAACGATACGGTATTTACCCGAAAGGAAATAATTCTTCAAGCGTGCGTTTAGGGAAACAAGTACGGTGTTCCCTGACTTCCCAGCTGGCAAGCCAGCTCTCGCATTCTGAAAATACCCAGAGATAAAAATACTAGCAAGGCCCTCAGACCAGTGTCCGTGACCAGACTTGGATTAAACCAGGATCCTAATCCAAATTTGGTGACCGCAAAAAACTTTAATCTTTCCTGTTCCCGGTTCCTGATCATCCCCAAAATGGTTTGTGCCCGAAGTCAGTACCTGGTGCTTCACTGCTATAAAATTATGTCTGTTTCTGACATACCAACTGCCTGTGTTGCAGAATTTTTTATGTTACACCTGCAAGGAGTATGTAGAAGATCTGGCAAAAGTCCCTAAGTCATTTTTACAAGTAAGTACTCTGCCCTTAATATGTATATGGGGTTGCTGTAGTCGAGCAGATTTTTCATGTCCTGCTGCAGGCTCGTGTGAGACTTAAACCCTCTAGGAATCAAAAACAAAACAAAACAAAACAAAAAAAAAGGCTGAGAATAAAGTTACCACGTTCAGTATTTGCTTTGATAGCCATAATGTATCTGCCTAGGACCACAGGAAAGGATTTACTGCACTACATGCTCTCTCGCAGCAGCATTATTTCTCCCTACCCTGTTATCTTGGTGCATTTTTTTTCTGCTGTGTTCTGAACAGTAGGACAACATCTGAGGGTAGTGCCCTGGGCCACTGTCTTCCCCTGACCACTAACTACTACTGCCCTTTTTATTATGCCAGTATGGCTGACTGATGGTTGTGCATGGAACAGGATCCGAAAATTCATCTGGATTAAAAATAGTCTCATTTTCTACAGTTATTTGTAAACTGCATCAGCTGTGTGACCTGTTCTCCAGGCAGCTGCACAAACAGGAGTGACACGGTGACAGGAAGGAGAAATGGAAGTGGGCAGGGGTTGCTATGGACGGGTGTTTGCTGGGTGGTAGAAGATACCAGAGAAAGACAATGATCCCCTGCTAAATGTGGAAGGTCAATCTGACTCTTCTAAGCTGCTGATTGAAATTCTGTCGTATTTTATTCCTAACAGCAGCATAGCAGATGACAGAGACTTGGCTCCTTGCTGACAGCAAGCATTAGATAGACTAGGAACTTGGGGTTGAAAAGGGGCAATTTCTTTGGCAGCTCCCCGTCTCAGAACAGATATTTGTACACTGGTTGATCAGTGTTACGCAGAATAACATTTTCTTAATTTAGCTGCCCAAATAAATGTATACAAAGAAGCAAAGCTGTCCATGCTGTTCTTAGAGTATTCTGTTTTTAGGAAGGCTTATTTTCATAACAAGCAAAATGATTTTATATGGGAAAGGCAAGTATTACACCCTAATATTAAAAGAACCTTCTATTTTATTAACTGTTTTACTGGTATCTGAATGAACTTAAGTTTTAACATCTGTTTTAGACTCAGGCCCAATGTTGCACCTGCAAAAGACAGCAGTACATGCAGATGCAAGTTATATCTGTTAATGAGCGTCTGTATATGTAAATCACGGACGTACTTGTATGTGCACCAATATTTGCATGCTGCTTCTTTAGATGCAGGTGCAACTGAGTGGAAATTTTGAATTTCCAAAATCATAGCAGGTGACAATCAGTTGAAAAGATGATGCTGCTAGTGCTACAGAAAACTTAAAAGTTTACACATCTGTAACTTAAAAGTTATCTTTGAAAATAATTTTTCACTTCATAAATTATTGTAGCTGCTAACTGTGGGTGATAGACAAAGGTACAGGCTCCAAACATGTAAGCGATGTTAACTGTGAATAATTTTAACTCAGTGCACTGTGATCATTAACTCAGGGCACCAGATTATGCTAATGCTTTGCAGCTGTGCAGAAAAACCCAGTTCCTCTTTACAGTTTTAATACCCATGTTTTGTTCTAGGAAGCAAATGTGAGGCTTATAGTTATTGGACAGTCATCTTATCATCACATCAAGGTAAATAAAGCAATCATTAAATACATTGTATCCTTTATTGTGTCTTAATGGCCTGCATTGAGGGATTTCGATCTGAGTGAAAAGACAGTCATTTGCAACCACAGAAAAAGAGAACAGTGTTCTTTTTCATTAAGAAATTCTAGTAGTAGTACATGAATAAAGAACTAAAACTTTCAGTTTAAAAACCTTGCTTCCTAAGGAAATGTCTTTTCTTGATCTCAGTGGAAGCTTTGTTTTAGTAACAGCTTCGGGGCTAAAAATTTTTCGCCTTTAATTTAACATGACAAATCCACAGGTTTCCAAATTGCGGGCGGGGGGGTCGGGGTGGGCTGGGTGTCAGTTTTTCTTTCCACTGCTAGTAGATCCTAATTACTGTCTTAACCTTAAAAAGACTACTTTTTATGTATGCATATATTTTGCAGCCCTTTTGCAGTTTAACTGGATATACACATGAAATGTATGTAGATCCACAAAGGGAAATTTATAAAACGTTTGGCATGAAAAGAGGTGAAGGTAATCATGTATCAGGTAAGAATAATTTTCTCACCTTGTTTGGACTTAGAACAACAGAAAAACACACTGATAAAGTAGTATAATCACAGTGTCAGTAGGAAGGGCGTCATCCACCAGGCGGTCTCTTGTAGGCTATGTTTTCTCAAAACAGGTAGGGAGGAAACTCTAAACTATTCATAGCAGCTGTTCAGTTTTGTTCTCCTTAAATACCTGCTTTTGTATTTCTGGATAACAAGTAATTTGCCTTTTTGTTTAGTGCGGAGCCCTCATGTGAAATCAAACATGCTCCTGGGAAGCATTAAGAGTGTGTGGAGAGCAATGACTGGCCCGGCTTTTGATTTTCAAGGAGACCCTGCTCAGCAGGGAGGAGCTTTGATTTTAGGCCCAGGTGAGCTTCTTTGTTTCGTGTGAAAGCTACAGGCTTCTCCTTCAGCTGTTTGATTTAACGCTGCCACCTGGGCTGCTATCCCTGTGGATCCCAAGGAGACAGTCTTGTGTTGAACTGTGTGATTTTCCCAGCTGAAGGAACCTGTGGAGGTGTCATTGTGTAGTCCCACCTCCCGCAGAGGTGGCACAAAGCTGATCACAGTCCTGCAGAAATCGATGGGAGTGCTGATGGAACAACTGCCTTGAAGTTTGGAGGGATTTTTTTGGCGTTATAGTGTTCACTTACTTTCTGCTTTCACATTTGTTTCTAGGCATTTGATGTGGTTTTAGTAGAGGAGTAATGCATGAAGGCGGGAGGAGTGCTGCAACATGACAAAGTTACCTCATCAAATCATTAGGAAATGTCATGCTACAGCAGATTTAATTCAGTTAGATGCCTCAATGTTCCCTGCTTCTGTAACTTAATCAAAAGGATACTCTTTGTCATTGTTTAAAATACAATATATTGTGCAGAGCTGGTACACATCTGTACAAGAACTAGTAGGAAATCAGAGTGCTTCTTTGATTCACTTACATCTTTGAATAAATAAATATTTTATTCAACTATTTACATGTTATTCCCATTCCTTTCCAGGGAATGAAGTTCATTTTTTGCACCTTGACAAGAACCGGCTGGATCATGTTCCCATTAACACCGTTTTGCAGCTGGCAGGAGTTAAACCAGTAAATTTCACAAACAAACCCCAGATTATTGATATATGACACTGACACATTACATTTTTAAATTATCATTATTTGTGCTCCACAAAAACAATTCTCTGGCGGATCCCCACCAGCATCGGTATTGTTGTGTCTTTATGGGACATCTGAAACCGTATCTAGAAAACCTGGGTGCTGGGTAGTTTATTCTGTGCTCTGAAGCTGAACACGAAAGCGCTATTTCCATTGCAAATAAGATAACAAAAACTAAAACACAACTGAGGCTTGCTGCAAAAAATCCTGTACCTTATTATTTCCTCATCAAATAGTTTTGCTAATACATTATAAAAATCTTTGTTCAAGATGCACTAAACTAAAAAAATCTTGATTATGCTCAGGAAGAGCTTGGGATTCTTGCCTCCAGCAGATCACACTGGCTTTCAATCCAGTACTTCTCAGTGATGTTTTAAAGCTCCCAGAACTGTGTGACAATCTTGTATTAAACTACACCTTGAAGAATCAGGGTTCCTTGACGAAAAATAAAAGGCTTGCTTAAGAAACAATGATACTGAGCAATGTAATTCCATTAAGGTACTATGCCTTAGTACCTTATTAATTACATACACATTTTGATACGGTGTGTTTAGAAGCAGGATATTATTAATGTAAAAATACTGTGTTCGCTTCCCTGCTTTGACTAAACAGGGCTTGGCACAGGGCTAAAAGCAGTTGTGTGCGGACTCTGAACCTGTGCAATTTCAGAGCTGTCCAGAGGCTTCCTCAGAACTTGGCATAGTGGACTGGGACTGGCAGCTGAGGCTCACAGGTGAGTAAAGTGCTTTTCATGAACCCCTAGGTTCATAAATAAGGAGCTGCCCACTCCCGCTGGGGCTCTCCCAGCTCACCAGTATTTTCAAGTGTCGGAAACTCTGGCATGCAGCTGCCTCATCGATAGCATGGTGTCTTTAAGCATAGAAGAAAGCAAGCTAGAAAATTGGTCTTATGTTTGTAAAACAAAGACAAGCAGAAAATTTACATTATTTTCAGAGAGAAATAATGCTGAATATTCAGTTTATTTGTAGCGTTTCCACTCTGCTTCATTCACCTGACCATCACTAACAACACAGATTCTAGTTCCACTCTTGTTTTGCAATCATTTCACTCATGTTCTCTGTGCTTTTGATTGTAAAGTGTTTGGCTAGCCGTTTTTCTGCTTCTTTTGCTTTCAGCAGAATTAAAATAATATACAATGGGAATTGTTCTATTGCTGCTAACGCATGAAATAAAACTAACTATAGCTAAAAGAACTGTGGACTCTTAAAAGGGATTGTAATGAATCAAGCTGTCGTTTGACAGTTCCGGAGGTTGAAGTCATCCACGCTCATCATCTCAATACTGACAGGAACTATACCACGGCCTCTGTGTTATCCCAGCAGCATCACTTCTTCAGAAAGATTTGCAAAGCCTAGGCAAACAAAAAGAGGGAAGAAGAGAAAGAATTCTGTAGAAGAGCAATCCTAATTAGGGCATCGGCCCTACATTTTATATTTGGCCACAGGTTCACCGAGTTCACTGCCGCCCGGCGAGACGATTCCCACATGCATCCTGAACTGGACTGACAATGGCCACATTCGTCCACGGGAGAAACAGTTTTCGAAGTGTCAGCGGAATTTTAGGTCTCTGGTGTTACTTAGAAAAAGTATTTTAAAAAAAGTTACGCAGTGGAAGGTGGAAACCAGCAGGAGACAAACGCTCACCTCATACGCAGTAAATGCTGGAATACTTCAGCAAAGGGTTTTTGTGACGGCCAGTGAGGCAGAGGTTGGCGGGGGAGTGGCATTCCGAAGCTGCTTTAACCTCCAGCTTGATTTATTTCAACATCTACTTAAGATAACGGTGTGTTTTGGAGCGTCACCGTGCCCGAGAGGCAGGCTCGCACCCAGCTGCTTCAACCGTCCAGATAAATCCATTTCACGTTCACACCAAAAGACGATTGCGCGTACCAGACCGGTTTCGGGGGGTCCTTACACGGCGCCGCGTCCCCCCGGGACCCTCTTTCCGCGCGTGTCGTGAGGCACCTGGGAGAAGGCGACGCCTCACGCTTAACGCAATCGGACTCCCAAAGGCGGCGGCTCCGGGCCGGCGCGAGCCGTGGGAGCGGAGCGGGCTGGCCCCGCGGCCGGGGCCCTCGCACCCCACGAGCTGCACTTCGGTCACGCTGCCACCGTCACACCAACCCCCCCCGACCCCGCTCTCCGGGAGAAGTCTGGCGCCACGTCAGCAGAGACCTCACCGCGGCGGGCGAGAGAGGGGACGAGGTGCCCGGAGCCCCGCCGGCCGCCCCGAAGCGACGGCGATGGGCGGGCCGCGCCCGGCCGCCCTCCCCCGGCCCACCTGTTACAGCCGCCACTATGACATCACCGTCCCCACCGCTCCGCGCTGGTGACGCCACACCGCGCTGACCCAATCAGAGGCGGCGCGGGGGGGCGGGGGTGCCGGGAGGTGGCCGGGAGCTGCCGCCGGCTCGGGGCGGGGGGGGGGGGGGGCCTTAGGTGCATGGGGCGGTGGGAGGGGGCGGTGTCCGGGGAGACGCGTCAGTCGCCGCCGCCGCCGCCACCGCGGGGTCCCTCCCCTCCGGCGGCCCGAGCCCCGCGGGGAGCGGCGCGGCGGGGATGAGCCGGGCCGCCTCGCACCCACCGTAGCGGCGCGGCCGCCTCCGCCATGAAGCGGAAGAGCTGGGCCGAGGCCCGGCGCCGCGCAGCCCCGGCGCCGCCGGCTCTGAAGAGAACTCGGGGCGCGGCGTCGCGGGCGGCGGGGGGCGAGGCGGAGCGGCGGCCGCTGCCCCCCGCCGGGCCGGAGACCTGCCTGAGGATCGCCGGTGAGGGGGGCGTGCCGGGGGGGCGGGCAGGGCGGCGGCGCAGCGGGAGAGTTGAGGCGCAACTCGGGGCCGCGCTGCCCGGCGGCGGGACGGGGGCGAGGGGGGCCGCCGGGGCGCAGGGCTGTCCCGTCCCGTCCCGTCCCGTCCCCGCGGCCGCGGGGAAGGAAAACTTCCCCTCAAGCAGTGGGTCGCGGGTGTCCCGGCGGGACGGCGGGGAGCGCGGCCGGCGGCGGCCGCCCCTGCCATCTGTGCGACGGGTCAGCTCTTGCGTCTCCCCGGCGCCTCACGCAGCGAAGTGTTCGTTAGGAACGCGTCGCCGGTCCTGCCGTCCCTCTGGAGGGACAGACAGCCCGCTTTGCCGTAACTCCGGCCGTGCCCGAGCGGTCGCCGTGTGCTGTCCTGTTCTGCTCGTAGGAGAGCGAAGGGAAGATACATTTGAAGCAGCAAAATACGTTGCGGGGGGGGTGGGGGGGGGGGCGGGCGGGCGGAAAAGATAAAAAAGTAACATATTTCTCTCTGTCCGCGGGATATATATCTTTTATCCGAATGCGGTGCTTGCTGGCTAATTGGTAAAATAATGGACAAGGGTCACACCTCTTCTTGGCTCTCCAGTGCCAGCGGCTTCAGCAGGCAGGTTTGCTCAGTGTCCTCCGTCCTGTTCGTGGCCCTGTGGTTTGAGCCGTGCTTTATTTTGGCACAGGAGCCTGCCTCTGTGGAGAAGCATATTGGATCACAGCCGAAATAATTCTGGATTTAGGTTTGAGTTCCCCAGCTAAAAGACGTGCTTGACTGTAGTTTGCCTAAAAGAAAAAAAAAATACTACTTTTTATGTTTTCAGTCAGAATCTGAGAATGGTAGTATTTACAACTTCTCTTAAAAAAGCAAGAAATAAACCTCACCGCTTCTCTGTGGAGGACGTGGGAAATTGTCTGTAGGCAGAGAAAGAAAAATGCAAAGAGCGAAGCTGTACAAAACCTGTACAAAAGGCACCAGTCTTACCTGTGCCAAGAAACAGAGTTCCTTAAATTAGCTAGTGTGTCTCCTAGATAAAGATATGTTTAGAAAATCATGTTTCGAAAATTGGGTAGAGCAATGTAGGAAGAAGGTAAACTCCCAAAGCATACCAGATTCATCTTCTTTATAAAGCTCTGTTACTGTCAGGCAATATAATCCTAAATGCTCCAGCCTAAACCATCTCATTTTAGGCCTAATCTACACAGAGAAACATAGTGGTGTAGTTACATGCAGAACCCTAATGCTACAATAACTCCATATGTGTATTTTTCTGTAACTCCAACCATTTCTATAGGAAATGATTATGATAGCATGGGTTTAAGGTTAAATGTAGAAACCGCTCATTTGACAGGTGGTGACTTTTAGATACGAAAGTAATTTCACTACCTAGAATACTGCGCAGCCCTGTCCAGCTCAGTTGTCCAGCAAACAGGTCTGTCTAACCATTTTCACGCAGCAGTTGCTTGGATCTGATAATGCACGTCTGGCATCAGCAGGCCCCTTAAATTACAGTATTTTCTCCTCCAAAGAAATGAAATGTTCACCCATTTAAATAATACAGTGGAGCAGCTAGGCTTTGACTTGTGTTTTCTCAGTGGGATTTCACCATACACAGCAGTACACAGTATAACAAACTTGATTAAAATGCAGTAGATGATTGTATTTAATAATATTTCATTTTGTCTTGATCTTTTCTTACCGCATACAGTGGCTGCTGTTTACAGTCTTCTGGAAATGGAACAATTACAGTCTAATTGTTGTTACGCTGATAGGTCATACGTATTTTTTAGAAGAGAAACCTTGAAAGAATGAGCCCACAGGCTTACCTTTTTATTCAGCTGTTTTAAAAGTTATTTCAAGTTTTGAACTATCAGTTCTGCATTCTCATGGTGCAGTTCTGAGAAATAAATTCACAGCTCTGGACTAGAGCTAGAGTAAATCATAAGGCCTTACTCTTGCAAATGGACATACTGGTAAATATTGTAGCCTCTGTAAAGGCTGAGAGATCTGCACTAGTTTATCTGCTTACAGAAACAGTGCCAAACCCATTAAGAACATTGCAGGCTACCCTCATTTTCCTCTTTGCTACAAGACTGAGACAGAAAACAAATGCAAATAGCTGTAAAGATTTATGGATCTTTTCTTGTGTGCTGTTATTCATAAACAGCAAAGTTTGTAATAAATTATTTGCATGGCTTTTATACTCAAAATACTTATAGTAATTACTGCATTTCTTTATTTTCTAATGAATTGTATGCATCTGCCATATGCTAGAAGTATTTTTAATCAGAATTATCTAAATATTTTTGTTTGCTATTAAGATTAGTTCAGGAAAGCCACTCTTGTAAAAAATAGGTTTTGGTCTGTTAAACTGCATGGTAAGCCTTACCATTTTCTCTTTGTCAACCAGTGCGTGAGGCTTGCTGGTATGAATTCAATTTGCTGGAACTGAATGCATGTCTTCTGTTTATTAGAAGCATATTCCCATATTCTTCTGATCTCTGAAAGAAGTAATATATATGTTCTAAAGAAAATGTAGCAATGCAGTGTGAGATGCTTGAAAGCTGTTGATTTTCTATCCTTGGCTGCTTTTCTTTGTCATTGCTCTGATTTTATAAATAACATTTTAAAGATGTGGAATTGTAATGCATAAAGCTTAGGCAAAAGCTGTGTGTTTCTCCCTTCTTTTCAGTAGTTAATTCTAAAACAAAGTAACTACAGTAACTATACATGGAATTAAATTTTACATGATATAACACCATGGGGTGTCTCGACATTTGTTTGTCCTTCTGCTAAATGCATACCCAGTTTGTTTATGGTGAGGAACTCTTATCTGAAAGGATGCTCTAAGCAGTACTGTGTATGCCTTTTTTTTTTCTTGATTGAGAATCATTTTACTTACACTGACACTTGGAGTTTTTATGAAATAGCATTCGGTTTAGTATGTTCATTGATAGATTGGTTGTTTTTTTTGGTTTTGTGCTGCGTTTTTTTCAAACCGCCGATTTGTCTTTTGTTTTTCCAGTACGGCTGGCTTGTCATTATAAAATTTGTGTGTTATATAGAGGACTGGTTTTTTGGCATGCTAAGGATGCTTCTATCAAGTATCGCTAAGCTATCTAACATTTTGACTATCAATACTTTCAATTAGTTTTTATTATACAACTGTCTCAGTACAAAAGTTGTATTTACTCTTTTATCAGTTTGACCTCAGTTACTTGTGAGTCTTTCCCAAAGTTAAGATTTTAAATATAAGTTTAAGGCTTTTAGTATCTAATGCAGCACTGAAGGCGCATGAATGTATGTAAAGTAGTCTTGTGTATCAGAGAAGAGCAGCAGAGTGCAAGGACACCGTTTGAGTAAAGTAACAC